CTTTCTTTCTTTCTTTCTTTCTTTCTTTCTTTCTTTCTTTCTTTCTTCCTTTTTCTTCTTTCTTTCCTTTCCTTTCTTCCTTCTTTCCTCCCTTCCGCTCTCTCCCCCCCTTCTCTCTTCCTTCCTTCTTTCCTTCCTTCCTTTTTTGTAAACAGGGGTTTTCAGGGTGCTAGCAGAGAATGTATAACTTTCTATAAAAGTATAACTTAAAGCCCTTGAAAGAACTATGTAGGAAGGAAAACTAAATGCTTGTAAGAACTATTAGTATCAAAGGTTTTTAAGAGCTATAATTGTTAATGAATCTTAAATAGATAGCACTTGGAAAGAAATCATAAAGATCTAAAAGATGTAGCAATGATAAATCAAAAGATACTGGTATTCAAGAGCCTTGAATAAGGCACACTTCAATATCCAATCAACACTTGACCTTCATGCAGTCAACAAACAAAGTAAACTTCTGGATTTTTAATTTAGGTATTTGGCAGTTTGGTGCAGACACTAAAGGAAAGAGAGTCCTCAAAGAGTGACCAATGGAAGAGGAGAGACCAAAGTTCAACATGGTGAGTTCTGTTTGAGAGGCCAGTAAAATATACAGGTAACAGTGACCAACAGGAAACTGGATATGGAAATCTATAACTTGAGAGCTGAGCCTGGATAAATATGTGGGGGTCATTAGCAAATAGGTATCAGTTCGATCAAAATTGGCGGTTTTACTCAGGTGAAGCATCTAGTCTGAGAAGTGCAGCATATGGAAGACATAATCTAGGGTTATGGCAACATTTGTGTGGGTGGAAGAAGAGGTGCTAGGAAGAGAAGGATCAGAATAATACAAGAGTAGCTGGATGGATATAGTCTTATGGATTTTATAGAAAAAGAGAGCTTCAAGAACTAAAGAATGAGTCATAGCATCAAATGTAGCAGAGGCTTAGCGAGATCAGACTGAAAGCTTTCATTGGATTTAGCAATTATTAAGACTTGGTGACCCCCGGGAAAGCTGAGGAATCAATAGGATGGCAGCAAGTAGAGAAAATCTTCCTTGAAGAAGTGTAAATCAGAGATAGTAATATAAGAAAATCGGGGAAAGGTGGATATTTGCCTCCTGGTTGTAAAAAATGGGATTCACTGGCGCACATTACTAGGTTGAGAGGAACACAGAAAGATCTATTTTCTTTCATAAATAAGATTCAAAGACATTATTGGTTAATAAAATCTGAAAACATTTTAAAAACTCATTTAAAACCATAATTCCTTTTTCCCCAAATCTTTCATCTATATGCCTAGTGGCCTTCAGTTTGGACTGATTGTGCTTTTCCTGACTTTTTCAGCCAACATTTCTGCTGGCACCACTAATAAGCCATGAATGCAATCAACATAATGGAGAAGGAAATAGGAGGGGGATACCAAGGCCCTGAAAAATTCAGACTGGAAAATCACCTTCTGAAGGGGTCCTGGTTGGCTGGTCAGGCTCTGAGTAATGCCAAATTGGCTGTGCTTCTTTGATATGTATCCAAACCTCAATCTCAAAAGCTAAACACTGCAGAATCCTAAAAAGTCATATGCTATAAAGTATGAGCTTGGTCCACTTGAAGGGTTATTATTTTCTAGAGAGAGGCCATAGTATCCATAAGTGGTAGCTTGAAAACAATTATTTAATTATCTTATTTCCCAGCAGAAGATGACATCTAACAATTACTGTTTGGCTGCATACCTTTGAGTGTCATCCCTTCTCTGTGAACACCCAGGGGTGGTGAAATCCAGGGCGTTGTGACAACACCCCTGGGTGTGTTGTACTGACTTTGGCTAGCCCAGTAGCTCTGCCCAGTTTCAGGTGGCACACTCCTGATTATTACCTATGATGATAATACTAGTGCAAAATCAGCACAGAAAGTAAAATTTAGTTTTGCTGCTTATCTGTCACTTCAGGTTATCTCACATGTTCTGCATCATTATTTAAAGATAAATCTAGGGACACCTGGGTGGCTCAGTCAGTTAAGCGTCTGACTTCGGCTCAGGCCATGATTTTGCGGTTCGTGAGTTCAAGACCTACCTTGGGCTCTGTGCTGACAGCTCAGAGCCTGGAGCCTGCTTCACATTCTGTGTCTCCTTCTCTCTCTGCCCCTCCACTCCTCACACTCTGTCTCTGTCTCTTTCTCGAAAATAAACATTAAAAAAAAAGTTTTTAAATAAATCTAAAGACTTCTTGCATTTGGGACACAGCCTTGAAGTAGAAAAACTTTACTTTATAAGCTGCCTTAAATTCTTTAGGGGAAAAGGTAAAATGTCCATAAAGTTTAATAATCCCAATGCTCAGATGTGGATTCAGAAGTCATTCCATTACAAATTCAGTGATGAAATACAATGAGTGAATATACTGAAGTGAATATACAAAATAAAACTGGAAAAGTTGTTTTCCTGGTGGTTTCTAGAAATAAGTGGCAGTACTTAGCTCTCTCCTTTGCTTTTGAAAGATAGTTCTAAAAATTAAAGATCCTAGCTGGAGTGGTGAAGATTAATTTAAATCAAGTGAAGACCCACACTAAATGAGTACTTGTATCAACACATCAACAGGGAACCTCTTGGTAGTTTCCTTACCTGTCTAAAATATCCAGTTATACTAGAGGGGTGCGTGGTGGCTCAGTCACTTAAGCGTCCCACTCTTGGTTTCTGCTCAGGTTATGATCTCACAGTTCATGGGTTTGAGTCCTGCATCAGGCTCCGTGCTGGCAGCACAGAGCCTGCTTAGGATTCTCTGTCTCCTCTCTCTCTGGCCCTCCCCCACTTGTGCTGTCTGTCTCTCTCAAAACAAGTAAATAAACTTAGAATAGAATAGAATAGAATAGAATAGAATAGAATAGAATAGAATA